ACAGGTGAGGGACGGAGAGAGTGAAAAATTCAACGTCTTTGTGTCATCATGTCTTTGTTCAGTCACTCACATTCCTGTTGGACAGGAAGTCCAGACCCTGAGACACCTCATAGGAAAACTTGAGAAGATCGACTACAGAGATCACATCCATCTGCACAGCTGAGAAAAAAAAGAGATGAGTTGAGACCGGTCCAGACAAAAGGTGGGTCCAGGGCTGGTCTGGTCTGTACCATGGTTTGTTGGACTTTGAACTGGCAACAAATCTGTGTCTGAGGAACACGAGATCCCGCTGTCACTGCAATAGGAGAAGAAGATTGAAGGTTCTAATCTTCTGTAGGAACTTGTTGTTGACCTCAGCAGAACAAGCAACTCTGACCTCCTGACACGGCTGTTGTAGACCACAGTCATGTTCTTGTAGTGCACCTCAGCCAACAGGAAGTCCTGAGCATGAGTTCTCAGGAAGTTGAGCAGGTCACCATGGAGACAGTACTCGGTGATCATCAGCATGGGCCCTGCTTCAGAGGGCAGAGGTCAGGTGTCCAGGTCATATGCATCCTATGAGCTGTTCCTAGATGGGTTTGGGTTCTTTAGTCCTGAATGACAGAGTTAGTCTCCAGTTCCCAAAATCAAAACCCAGACTGGTGTAAGACCAACATCTAAACACTCTTTAACACCAGAGGATTCAGTGGCCTGGTTCCTTACTGTAAGTGTGTATATGTGTGTGTGTACATACCCCCTGTAGTGCAGGCTCCGAGCAGGTTGACAATGTTGTCATGGTAACCCAAGTGACTGAGGATCTTCAGCTCCGACATAAGAGCATCGCGTTCTTCAGAGAGTGCACTTGCTACCGTGACAACACACATCACACGATTAGAACAGAGCAACAGGACAATGGCATCACTCATTTCACAGATGATGTCACTAACGTTTCAGCATTTTCACCGCAACTCTGGTCACATTGTCACCGGTTCCCAGTCCGTACGCCGTCGCTTCCACCACCTTCCCGAATGCTCCAGAACCAAGAACTGGGCCTGACAATCGAGATGGTTAACACACACACACACCCACACACACACGAACACAATGATGAACACACACAGACTGCTCAGTACCCAGGCGGAGTTTGTCTCGTGGAAACTCCCACTTGTAGTTGTACGGCAGGTGGGCGGGGTCAAAGAAGGTGTAGTTGTTTCCATCAGAGCTCTCTATGATTTTCCAACGGATCTCGTACCTGGGCTTCTGCGCAGGAGGGACAGAAAAATGAGCTGTGACCCAATTTCAACTCTGTTTCTGTTACTGATCACCTTTTCTGTCTCTCTTAGCATTTCTTCTTCTTAGCCTAGCGGAGCCTTTGTGACATCACAGGAAGTTCAACTTGCCTGTTTCCACCTGAAGGAGATGATGAGCAGCAGGAGGGAGAAGGCAGCTATCGCACTCACAGCACCAATCAGAGCTGGCGAGAGGATTGTGGGCGTGGCTAGATTAAAACCTGAAAACACAGAGTTGCTCATCATGTGACCTTAGTGACATCACAGATATGAGACACTGACCACACCTACGGTGACTTAATGCCTGACGCGACTCTCCAAGACTGTTATAGGCCACACACTCCACAGTGACATCATCGTCTTCTGACAGCTGGAGACGTGATGTTACTTTCTCTCCCTGTGAGGTCACATCAGCCGAAGGCACCTGATAGGTCGAGGCATTTCCACACCTGCACAGCAGTTTTACTTCATTAAAATGCTGCAGCGCCACCAAATGGACACGCAAAGATCTTTGGGTGGAGCCATGATACACACGTTTGCTGAGTGGATGGACAGACAAACCACAGCAGGGTGGGAGGAGGAAGTCCAGAGCTGCTGCAGGTCAGAGTGTCATTGAGGAGATGAAGAACAGTCTGTGGAGAACCTAAGGAACCAAGAATAGGAAGTTCAGGGAAGGAAGTTTAACGAAAAGAGATGAAAAAAAAATCTTCTTACGGAAGATTAGAAGCTTCAAACTCTGACAGCCGCTGAAGAAGGCGTTTGAAAAGTTAAACAAATAAAGACCTTGATCTTCCAGACGAGGGCGCCGTAGCAACAGGCTGAATTCTGACCTGTATTAATGAAAATGTCACCTTAACAGAACAAACATTAACAAATCTACCTAAATGTACTGAACAAGTTAACAGTTAGCAGCTAAGCTAACCTATAGTCTTTGATGTTGTAGCTTTCTTCATGTTTAATTCTGCCATTTTGTTCTCGTGGCATTGTCCAGACGTGGCTCCTGATTGGAGGATACGCCTCAATCACAAACATTAACAAGACATCGTGGCCTTCGTAAACCTCCACTCTGCGGCTGCCGCTAACGTTAACAATGCTAGTAGCATTCAGGCCGGTTACATTAGAAATAAGGTAAGCGACCATGCTTCTGTCAGCACTTGGCATGCTACTAACATTAGCATTCACTTCACTGCTAACGTTAGCGTTAGCATGCAACAGCAGGTAGATGATGATGAAGGGATGAGCTAAAGAAAAAGAGAGAGTCTGTCAGTAAGTCTGTGATCCATAATTATAACAACATGAAAATGTATTATTGGCCAGATTAAATCATCAGATGATGTCTTCAAAAGATAATTAGATAGGAATGATCAGGTAATCATTGATAGATTTCTAGATAATCTACATCTTTTATTTCTATTCTAAAGTGTAACCTGTTACCCAGAACTCTCAGCTTCACCGATGCCTTGACCACGCCCACCTCATTGACAGCCATGCATAAGAACATCCCACAGTGTCTGTGAGTGACAGCTGACACGTGCACGCTGCTGTTCACGTGCATGAGTCCATTACTGTAGAAACGATTGACGGACACATTCAGCGCCTGAGGACAAATAGGTCAGGGGGTGAGGAGGTCAGGGGTCACAGGAGAAACCTCAGATCACCTCTGTGATGTCTCACCTTTATACCAGGGTGTGTCCACGAGACGTTGAAGAAGGGGGAGGGGCTACTGCCAAGACAAGTGACCTGGAACTGTTCACCTTGGAGACGAACAAAATCTGTCTGACTGAGGGACAGATCAGGTGTATGAAGTCCTGTAGTAAGATGTTTGGACAGGAAGTTGGACATTTGGACAGACAGCTGGACAAACAGTTGGAAAGAAAGGAAACTCACTTGGAAGCACCATCAGGTCCAACGACGTGGACCAGACCCGTGTCCCGTCCTTTAGTCCTGAACATACGTACCGACCGTTGAATGATCTTTGGACATTCTGGATCAGGGCCCCCTTATGAGGGTCAAAGGTCACGTTCATGCCCAGCGGTAAGCCCTGTCCTCTGTCTTCTGATTGCAGGGTGAGGTTGGTGAGGGAGGGGTCTGTTGGCTGACACTCCCACAGGAAGTCCTCACCTTCTTTAACATTGGGTATGGAGCGTGGTGTCACCCAGTAGCTGCTCGGAGCAAGACCTGGATCTGGGAGAGACCGGCCTCAGACATACGGCAGGTATGAGGTGGGGGGAGGAGTCTGGGGGGGGGGGGGGGGGGGGGGTGTGTCAGGGGTGGTGGGGGGACGCGTCCTGTGATGTAGAGGTGAATCCAGGTGTGTTTGTGGGTGGAGTCTGTGCAGCTGTACGTACCAGTGTGTCGCAGCCCGGACCTCCGCACATCTATTTGTTCAGGGAGCCCATCGTCGTAACGAAGACTGAACGCCGAAATTGACCAACGCACCGATCCGTTACCTTGACAACTGAGGGAGAAGGCGGAGCCAGCCCTGAGGACCTGCTCTGATTGGTTTAGCAACAAAACCGAATTCAGACGGATCAAAGGAAGGTTGGGGGGCTCTGGAGGAAACCAACAAAGAAAAACAAAAATCAACAGTTAACCAAACCATCCATCATGGGGTGGGGGGTTTGGGGGGTGGGGGCAGAGAGAAGGGGCTCCAGTACCATTCAACTACAGACCACATCTGTGTCCGTCCACCAGGTCAAGACCAAAAACCATCCACACACACATTCACATCTACAGTCAGTCCAGAGTTAACGTTAACCTGAGTGTGTTCTTTTGTTTAGTGTGAGGTTTCAGACAGAAATGTGTGTGTGTGTGTGTGTGTCTTACTCTCAGCTGAGCAGTACCAGGTGACGACGACCAACAGCAGAAGTGAACGGAACATCTCCATCTCTCTGACTGAAACTAAACAGTTAGAAACTTCATTTAAAACAGCTGGCCACGCCCACAAACACACCTCTGGGTCACATGACTCTTTCCTGGTTAAAAAGACAGACAGGACATTTTGCTACAGAATTTCTCACCTGTGCAGCTAAAAAGCATTGTTTAAAAGCAAAGCTTTTCAAAGAGAAATAAAAAATAATTGAAAACAAAGTGTTCGTAAATGTGAGAAGTGTAAAACGGCATCGAAACAGGAAGTGATTCACAGAGGAAACAGATGGAGCGCACTTTTCTCACTGTCAGCACTTTTATTTGCTGCTCTGTGTGTGAGGCAACAGGTCACGTGATCACTTGTTTTTGTTTTTCATCTTCACTTAGAAGTTGTGTCAAATATAAGCCGTAGATGTGACCCAGACAGTGGGCTGCAGCCTGTAGGCTACACATTTGTCTGGTTAAATCTATGTCTACCCCATGTTTATCATAAGCCAGGTGTCGATACAGCAGCTCCCCCTGGTGGAGTCACCTGATTAACGTGAAACACAGACTCCCCCAAAACCACGCTCATGTTCTCCTCTGTTTTTAACAAAGTTCTTATTTTGCTGGATGGTGATGAGTTCAGTTTCACTCTTCATTTATTTCAGTGAAGTTTCTGCTCAAAGCCTTCAGTCGGTCGCCATCAGACTGGGATCTGAATGTGGTCCAGGTCTTCAGCCCACAGAGGCTTTAAGAAGACTGAGAGACAGGTCCAGGTCCAGGTCCAGGTATGAATTGACTGTTTTATCAGAATAATTGTAGTTATTTTTATTAAAATCTTAAAAAAAACAAAAAACAATGTGGTGTTTAAATATATTTTGGCATTTTTTGGCACTTATCCTACTGAAGCAGTTCCATCAGTGGCCACTAGGCTGGTTTGGTTTCTCTCATTCAGAGCTAACTGACTGCTGGGAGACATTATACTGTCTGACTCATTACTTTTAGATCCTCACTGCAGTATTAGCATCTTAAAACTCCCTTCAAGATCTACTGGTAGATCCCGATCTACTTATTGGGCACCCTTGTTGTAGAGTAACAAAAGAGTTCCATTTTGGGTCAATATTTGACATTTTGTTTATTTTCACAAAAATCATAGTATGGCGCCCTCCTGTGGTAAAGATAATGGTGAACATGGTGATGAATGAGACGCTGATAAAACAGAGATGATGACGGTGACACCGATAGTAGTGATAAACATGACCATAGTGACAACGATAATTGGAACAATGGTTGGTGGTGATGACGATGACGTCATCACCACCAACCATCATCATCATCATCATCATCATTTCCAGGAATAACACTTAAACCTTCTGGATATTGATTTTTGGTCGTTCATCTACAGACTGTGGATGATGGTTCTGTTTCGTAGGTTCTGGACATAATCTTTGGCTGCGTCCAAACTCGTCTTCTCTTCTGCCCTAGGAGGCGCTCCTTCCACCAGCTTTACAAAGTAGTGACAGTAAACTTTGTCCATGATCCCATACATCCCACGACCGTGGTAACGAATCCGCTTAAGGTAGCGACCTTTACCAGAACAAGACTCAGCTGAGAAACAGGGAAGGGTACGGGTGACATGAAGGGAGGTGGGGGGGTGGGGAGGGGTGGGGGGATGATTAGTTGGACTGGAATACATCTAAACTAAAGCATTCAGGTTGAATTAAATTCATGAATTACATTAAGGTTTTAATGAGCAGTAACAGACGATGACATCACTCACTCACCGACATAAAGGTTGGACTTGAACTCCACGTTGTGATGTTTGACGGCCATTTCCTGAGCTTCAAGAAGAACCTGCCACACAGACACAGTGGTTTCAACGCCGTTTCTTCTTCTACTTGTTCTTGTCAATAACTCCACAAATGTGTCAACATCCTAGTTCCATGTTATCAACCCCCGGCTCATGGACTCAAAGGTGACAGCAGTGTTGTTCCAGGTACAAACCTCCTTCATGATTTTTGCTCCTTTCTTATCGTTGAACTCCAGCTGAGCCACTGCCTCATCGATGCTCAACCCCCGGATCTGTCCCCACACACACACACACACACACACACACAGATGACCCACTGACCTCAATGACTACACTTCCAGTGAAGATCAGCAGGTGGCAGACTTACCATCTTTGCCAGGTACCACATCTTGTCTTTACTGTATTTGATTTGTCTCCTGCTGTGATAAATCTCCTGGAAGAAAAACAGGTTAAAACTGGAACGAACACACACGCATGCACGCGCACACACGCGCACGCGCACGCGCACACACACACACACACACACACACAGCTCCTCCTCTGACTCACAGCAGGTCTGTGTTCTTCTTCGTTTCTTTGAGGAGGAAACACCTGGCGGTTCTTCCTCTCCCAGGTGGACACTGAGGTGCTGGTGTGGAGACATGACAGCTGCAGAAGACCTGGACCAATCACAGCCCTCCACCTGCAGACAGAAGATGATCGTTTCAGTGCTTGTTTAGCTTCATGTTTTTGTAGTTTCACAGCAGAACGGAATCATCAGCAAGGATCAGAGGTCAAAGGTGAAAGTCCACGACCTTCTAAGTTTAGCTCCTGCTCTTGTGTTTCTGACTTGAGCAGAACATCTTCATCCTCACGTTCTGCTCCCAACTCTTCTCACCATGACAGTGTGTCGCTCTGACCATAATGATGTGTCAGGTCAATGAAAAGAGCTGAAAATGACGACAGACAGAGGAAAACCAACCAAGTCTGTAGCCAACTGCCGACCATGAAGCAGCGAAGGCATCTTAAAGACAACGGCTGCAAGATTGAAAAGCTAATTGTATAAAGCTAACTGAAAAACTAATGCTAAAAGCATGTATGAGAAATGACAGACGCTGCACTCGCATTCATTTGTTCATCTACTTTGACCTCAATGTCACTTTTATACCACAGATTGTTCTCGATGGAATCAGATTACACCGGAAGTAACGAGACTATCAGAATAAACACGTTGACACATTTTTATTCAAATTTAAATTCCAAAAAGAATCTACTGAACAGCAAAGATCAGCTTCACATCTCCAGTTCCAGTGAAGTTCTCTAATCGATATGGTTCTATAGACAAGTGTTTGACCAACTATTTAACATAATTTGACACACACTTGTTCCGCTCTCGTTTTCTGCATACGATTTTATATAATCAAACACAGCTGCTCGATACAAACACCTAACAGAAGCAGTTTTAGCATGTCTCGCTAACATACAAGGGCTGCGCTCATTCGTCCTACATTGGCGTAACACCTAGCAATGCTGCCAACTCACCTGTAGTTAACTGACGCTAGCATGTTCCCGATAAAAGTGGCACCTAAAACAAAAACAAGTGACGTTCAGTGGTGGTGGTTAATGTACCGTTAAATACAGACAAAGCTATTCAATTATATAGAAACGTTTCTCTCACCTCGTCCAGTACATGAAGCCGCCATGATGCCGTTTTACGACTCTTCAAGTCCATTTACGTTCTCATTGTTTTCATCTGAAACTTTAAAACGTAGCAGTGATAAAAACAACTGAGTAATAATTGAAAGAACTACACGATGAACTATAATGTCACGACTAATAAAAATACGTATTAAAATGAAGTATTGACAACGAACGTAAATACATGTTTTCTTCGATAAACTAAATATCGTTTTGTCATTTATTACCTTTAAAGACATGGTTCTTCGCCCCGAGTACACGTTGTTCATGGAGTTGGTTTAAGACGTGAATATCCCGCTCTTCGACTTCTGATCAAAGAGAAAGAAAAGCCCATGCAGCGCAGTTTGACCCATTGGAGATCCCGTAGCCGGCATTGGTCGGTATTTACGACAGATGGTAATTTACGGCAGCTGCTGTTGTAGCTTGTGGCATGTGAGCAGTTTGTAGATGTTTTTTGTTTTGAATAGTCTCTATAAAATCATAAGAAACATCATTAAAGAACAAAGGATCCGTCATGTTTAAGAGGATCCTTCCCGCCTCTCCTAACTGGTACTCTTCCCGCTGCAGTGACGTCAGCAGCACGGGTTTGTTGGGAGTTGGAGCCAAAAACGTAATTTACCTGATTCAGGTGTCTGTCAGTGACTGCACGGTGGTGGGTGAGTAATCAAAACAACAAGAATAACAATAAACGAGACAAGATCTCACAGTCTAGAACTTTATGCTTCCATCACACCAGAGCCCATGGTCGTCCATGGTCGTCCATGGGCGACTTAAAAAATTAAATAACCGAGACTATATGTTATACTACAATTAAACGATGGACTAGGGGACAGTACTAGTGGGAAGTTTATCATCAGGTTGACAAAGAGTCTACAGACATCCTGAAGATTAGATGATGAAATCAAAAGCTGCTTCTGTTCTGATGTCCCTTTGATCTATGGAAGCTAACAGTTGTTTGATCTTCTGCCTGTCAGGTGAACTGCTGGGCCACAGAGACCTGGTGTCAGGTTTCTCCTTCTGTCACCACCCAGCGCAAACCCAACTGTGTGCCAGCGCTTCCCACGACGGTACCATTCGTTTCTGGGACTCTGACTCCAGATCCTTCCTGAAGGAACATGCGGCTCATCAGGTGAGGACGGACCTGAGCTTTGACCACCACTGAAGGACACGCCCCGAAAAAACTGTGACTGAAAAACTTCCCCTGTCTGCTCTAGAGTTCAGTTACAGCCATTGACTGGTCTCCTTTGGACAAAAACCTGTTGGTCTCTGGAGATGAGAAGGGAATTATGGTCTGTCACTGGTTCCACACTGGAGAGACCTGCAGCTTCTTCCCCGAACCAAGAACCATCTTCTGCCTTAGCTGTTCTCCTCATACCTGGAGCTGTGTTGCTGTTGGGTGAGAAGATGCAAAACTCTCCTACACCAAAGTCCATGGAGAAAATTAGAGATTTTAGCTCTTTTAACATAATTTGTTAATAATGTATTAAAACTGAAACGTTTTTATTGGCAGGTAGGTTTTAACCTATAAGGAATTTGTTGTGACATACAGTGCAGTGAAAGAAATGGGATAAAAATAAATTCGAGTTTTCCGATGACGTGACTTGAATCTGTGTTTCAGATACAAAGATGGGATGATCATCCTGATTGATGTGAGTAAAAAGGGTCATGTGACCAACCGTCTCCGTGGGCACGATGATGAGATCCACTCTCTGGCCTGGTGTCCCCAGCTTGGTCTAGATGCCCTCTGCTGTCCACCTGAGGACGGTGCAGGTACAGAGAAAAATGTCCAAAACCATATAGAATAAAAAGCTAAAGTTACTAGCACTCAGACTGTTTTCACCCACAGTCACTAGAGGAGAGTCTCCAGCAGAGGGCAGAATGGAGTCTTACTTATCTTCTGGCAGCAAAGACCAGACTCTGAGGATCTGGAACTCGGCTAACGGCAAAGGTCTAAGATTTATAAATTTAAACGTACAGTCCTTGTCATTTACGTTAAAGTTCCACAGGGTGGCGCAGTATCTCTAATGGGTTTATACCAACTATCTCACCTTTGATTTTGTTTTTGTCAGTACAAAACTCCACAACATAATCCCATTACCGTTTTTGGTCAACTTTGGTTTGTCTTTGATTCTGAAATTGTGCAAAAATATTTGCGTAGTAACACCAACCCTTTGATGTCCCTGCTCAGCGGTGCTGACTTTGAAGCTTCCATATTTAAAGAGACGAGGTTCTGCTGTAGACCCATCTATCAAGGAGCGTCTGTGGCTCACCGTTCTGTGGATGAAGAGCAGACCTGGGCAGGTTCTGTCCAGCTGCTTCAGGTGAGACCCTGGACCAGTATAGACCTTGTTCTTGTCGTTTGAATAATTGATTTGATTGGTTGTGTGTGGATCCTCAGCGGTGAGCTGCTGCATTGGGACCTAAACCGATCCGGAAAGCAGCGTTGGACTGTGTTGGGGACATCGTCAGAGGGTCAGAACCACAGCCGGATCGTCTTCAACATGAGCTCAGTCTTGCTGCACAACAGGGAACTGCTGGTCAGCACCTCCATGGACCGAGAGGTGGGTCAGAACCAGAAGGACCAACTTTGTCAGAGAAGCGGGTTCTTCTGAACCCCAGACTAACAGAACCATTGTCCTGCCCAGATCAAGTGCTGGGACCTGTCCTGTCTGGACTGCTGCTGGACTCTTCCCACCCTGGGTGGGTTTGTCTACACACTGACCTTCTCTCCTGTAGGTGGTGCTAACTGTCTGGCACTAGGCGTCGGGGACAACATGATCCGAGTCTGGAACACGCTGTCCACCAAGAGCCAGTATGAGACCAAGACCTTCTGGCAGGGAATCAAGTCCAAAGTCACAGCGGTAAAAAAAATGATTGGCTCTTTCTGTTTCCACTTCCTGTTTCGGTTAGAACCGAAGCTAAAGCAACGATAACGAGGAATCAATGGATTCAAATAGTCTTTGATCTGAAAGGTCATAGGTGACATAAAGTCTTTGGTGTTAATGTGAAGACGGACATTCTTGGATGATTTTTCTAATGGAGAACGTGTGGTTCTGCGCAGCTGGCCTGGCATCCAAAGAAAGAAGGAACTCTGGCGTTCGGAACAGATGACGGAAAAGTCGGAATCTACGAAATTTTTTCAAACAAGTAAGAACGTTACTCTGAACTTTTGTTTCTGTCTTGTCTTCTTTCCAGCCATGATGTTGAAAGTCTTTGATTGGCTGTATGTCAGGGTGTGTTCCATTTCTCCACCTCCAGGCCACCGCAGATCTCCAGCTCCTATCACAGGAAGACGGTATACACACTGGCCTGGGGCCCCCCCGTCCCCCCAGTGACATCAGGTCAGTGGCCTGGCAAATGTGCCAACAGTGTGTGATGCTAAAAGTTGGTTGTTAGCTTGCAGGCTTCACTTCAGAGTTTTTTTGTCGTGTCGTGTTGTGTTCAGTAGCATCAGGAGAAAAGGTGTCCCTGTACAGCTGCGCAGGTGAAGGCATCATTTATCAACACGACCCCACGAAACTGAACACAGACGCAAGTGACATTGATCAGCTGATCAGAGAAACCAACAACATCCAGGTGAGCCATCAAGACTGCCTGAAGCAACGGCTAGATGTTAGCAGGCATTAGCAGACGCTAACAGTTTCCTCTTCCTCTTTAGCACAAGCTCCCTCCTCACAGCGACCTCTGCTGGAAGCCTGATGGAAAAGTTCTGGCAGTTGGAAATGAGGACGGGTGAGTCTCTGATGGTCGTTCTTGTTGACGGTGACTTCCACTTCCTGTCTCTATTGTAACCGATGTTGTTGCTCATGCTGTGACATTGTTGATGTCGTTGTACAGTTCCATAGACATCTATTTGTCTCCACGGTTACGGTTGCTGTGCAGCATTCAGCAGCATCACAAAATCATCAACTGTCTTCGCTGGCATCCTGGCCACGCCCCCTCTGCTGAAGTCCATGCCCTGTTGGCTTCAGGGTCAAGTAACGCTGTGGTCTTTGTTCACGATCTGCACTCAGTCCTTGGTAGGAAGTGACATCAGACCCTAACTCTAACCCAGCTCAGCACATGTTCTTGACTTAATATTGTGTGGTCTGCAGCCAATCGTCCAGAACCTCCACCCGTTCTGACCGAACCATTCCGTAAGCTAGCAGGTCACACGGCAAAAATTACAGGTTTGGCCTGGAGTCCACATCACGACGCCCAACTTGTCAGCGTGTCATATGATGGTACAGCACAGGTCAGTCATCCAGCAGGAGGTGCTGTGGAGCTAAAATGTGAGATTTTCTGAATGGACTTGGACTGGTTTGTGTCACAGTCCTGGTGTTTTTTTTTTGGTCCAGGTGTGGGATGTCCTGCAGGAAGTGGCTGTCGCTAACTACCGTGGTCACATGGGTTACCTGCTGTGCGTGGACTGGTCTCCTGTTGATCCAGACCTGGTCTGGACTGGAGGAAAGGACTTCACGGTTCAGGAGTGGAATGTCTCAGAGCAGGAATTCAGCAAACCGCCCAAAGGTGGAGACACTGAGCAGGTTGTCAGCTGACTGTCCTGGACGACGTGTCCTCGATGTTGACTCTGCTCTTTCTGATGACCACGTGTCCAGGGAAGAAGCTGGTGGAGCTGAAAGAGAAGAAGAAGATGAAGAAGAACAACAAGAAGTCTTCAGCCGTCAGGGGGGCGGAGCCAGAGGAAGAGAAGGTGCTGACAGCACAGGAAGTGTCAGGTGATGAGGAGGAAGGTGATGTCAGCTCTGCAGGTAGGAAACACACACACACACACACACACACACACACACACACACACACAGGTAGAGATTTAAAAACTCTCTTCAAATGTTTCAGTCTCAGCTTCGTGTGAGACACAGAGAAAAACATCATCTTCATCATCATCTTCATCATCAGCTGCTGCGAAGATCAAAGAGAAAACAGGTTTGAGTTTTTACAGCCCAACTGTCAACCAGAAGAACTGAACCACACGACGACCGTCAACTAACCCAAAGTCACCAACACAGTCTCAGTGATCGTGTGTGTGTGTGTGTGTGTGTGTGTGTGTCTGTGTGTGTGTCAGACCCTGTGCTCCTGCAGCAGAAGAAGAAACCTCGTTCTCTTTTTCCTCTCACGTCTTCTCTCAACCACGGAGTCAGAGAAAAACTGCTGCAGGACTGTGTCACTTTGGCCAAGCTGCAACACTGGACCCACCAGGACCAGGACCAGGACCAGGACCACCAAGAGACTTTCAGAGACCTAAACCCAGTAGAGCAGTGGAGAGACCCGCCCCCCCAGGGTGAGCCCTCCCATCTACACAAGTCAGTTCAGAAAGACTGTTCTGACTCATCACTGATGCTAAACCTCTGGTTTCTGTCCACAGCTGCTAGAGCGCCCCCTACCACTGCTGCAGACTGTGTTCCAGGACAGGGAGACCTGGTCCACCTGGGTCTGTTCTCAGACAAAGCAGCTCTGCAGAGAATGTTCACTTCTGAAGGTAAACAGGACGCTCTCTCTCTCTCTCTCTGTGTGTGTGTGTGTGTGTGTGTGACTTTGTCTTTTTGTCTCTTAGAGGACACTCACCTGGAGGCTGGACACTTTGACTGTGTGGTTTACCTGCGTCTGTGGTCTGGAGACCTGCAGGGGGCACTGCAGCTAGCCGCAGACAGAGGAGAGCTGAGTGACCACCTCCTGTCCTTGGCTCCTATGGGTGATTGACACGACTCAATTCAAGTGTAGAATCTACACACACATGCAGCTGTGAACTCCCACAATCCACCACTGCATCAGACGCAGAGCAGCTGTGGATTCAAAGAGCAGATGAAACAGTTCTGGGTTCTGAAAAGTCAGAACTTTCCTCAGGTTCTGTTGAATCAACTTGTTGTGCTTTGTTTGGTTCAACCAGCCGGCTTCAAGACCTGGCAGCGGACCGTGGATGTGTACGTTCAGCAGCTGTGTCGTCAGCAGAACTTCCTGAAGGCGGCGTCTCACCTGCTGTCACTAAATCGAGTCTACGAGGCCCTGGAACTGTTGAAGACCCATCGGTTCTACAGGTAAGTGACTCTAACAGACACACCTGCACACTGACATAAAAGGATCAAAGCCAGACTGAAAGACTAAGACCTGTGCCACAGAGAAGCGGTGTGTCTGGCCAAGGCCCGTCTGTCTGAGAGCGACCCGCTTCTACAGCAGCTCTACAACTGTTGGGCCGCGGCGCTGGAGAAAGATGGACATTTCTCCTCGGCTGCTAAATGGTGAGAACCGTAAAGTTGACCTCTGTCCCCTGCAACTAGTTAAACTCATTACTTCCTGTTTGGTCACTTCCTGTCAGCCTCCTGGCAGCCGGCGCCACTTTCGACGCGGCTAAAGTACTGAGCAGAAAGAGTGACGCGTCGTCGCTGCAGGCTGCGGCTGACGTGGCGAGAATCTGCGGTGAAATTGCTCTGGCACAGACGTTAGCACTGCGTTGTAGCAAAGAACTAATGGTGACGCAAAAGTGGGTCGCGGCCCAAGAAGTTTTGAGGCCGTATACCGCGCTGCTAGTGAGTCACGACTAAAAACGTTTGGTTTGTTGACATTGTGAAGTTACAGAGTGTATGACATCATGGATGCTGTGGTCAGGTCCAGCAGCTGATCCTCGTCGTCACTGAGCTTCTCACCACGACACTGGAGGAGGCCGCCATCGCCATCGCACCGGGCGGTGTTCATCACCAGTGGGCGTGTCACTTGACAGAACACGCCACCTTACTGGAGCGTGTGAAAGCAGTATGGACGGAGCACTTTGGTGTGTCGCGGCAGTCGTCAGGACGCAGCGGTGCCGCGGCTCTCCTGCAGGATCTCCAGTTGGTGGAGAGTCCGACTCTGTCCGTTAACTCCGCCCTCACTCAGGTACGACCACGACCGCCACGACACAGGTGAAGTGTTGTTCGATGTGATGTTTATGTTGACCGCCACCAGGTTCTGATGATGACGTCAGTTCACCTGACCGCTGCCGTGCTCGGTTGGCTGCAGGACAACAGTGGTCAGCTGATCACTGGACTGTGGCGAGCAGTGACATCACTGACAGACGCAGGAAACTTCAGTGTGGCGGCTGCCGTCCTGAAAAGCCTGTTTCCTGAAGGTGGAGTATCATGTGATGACATCACAGCTACATCACTACATCATCACACTAATTCCTCTGTTGTCTTTGATCAGGCGCTGACATCAGCAAACAACAGGAAACTCTTGGTGATGCCGACGTCGCGGCCGTCGACAGTCTGCAGGCCATCGTCCTTTACCATCGTTTGTATGAGCGCTGGTGGGCGTGTCCAAGACCGACTGATGTAATTAACGCGTCATGAATTAGACTGCTATTGGCTGAGATATTTGGAGTAGATGGAACTTTATGTGAACTTAGCTTAGACTTCAAATAAGGAAATATTTTGGAGATTTTAATTGTTGGGAGACAAGCCAACCCTCTGAAGAACTAAAGAGGAGCCTGCTGCCACCTACTGGCCATCTCTAACAATCTTTTGAAATTTTTTTTTTTTTTTTAAATAGAGGATGCATCAGAGAACAGGGTTGTAGAAGTTCAAAGGCAGATTAGAGCCACCTTAAAGTTGACCTCTGACCTTCATTCACAGACAATCTTTGACCTAAGACATGATGTCATCAGCTGCTCGGACAGAGACCAGCCCACTGATGATGTCATCAGAAGGGACCTGTGTCTCCTTCTGTCGGAGCGTCACGCTGCCCTGCAGGCCAATCAGAGGAGAGCACATGAGATCCAGCAGCATCTGAGCGCCATGGTAACGCAGCACAAACACAACAGACCCACAGAGCCGACATCAGCAGCAGAGGATTGTGGGAAATGGTGAGCAGTCACATTGACAGAGAAGCATGTGAGGTGAAGCCAGTAACGATTCCTGTCGTTTTCTGTCCGTCAGTGAAGACCAGGAGACGTTTCTGTCTCTGTCTCTCAAACTGACACAGACGCAGAGGAAGGTGGACCAAGCGACAGACGCTGTCAAGGTACGCTGACATCATCAGTGACATCACCTCACGCCTGTCGCATTATTTTACTAACATTGTTGTTACTGACCCCGTTGTGGCTGCCACCCAGATGTTTCCTCGTCCTGACGTGATGGAGTGTTGCCTCCTCCTCCTCAACGCGTCCAGATCTTTGTCCATCTCCGAGGAGCTGCAATTACAGGCTAAAGAGCTTCTGCAAAAATACGCAACAAGTCCTCACCTGATGAAGGCATCACGGCGATTCCTGACCTGAACACCAACACGTCTTCGCTAAGATGAAGCGTCATCTGTTGCCGAGCAGACTTCCAAGAATTCACAGACTGCAACAATGGAAACATGAGAAAATGTAAAAAATTGGTAACATTGTTTGGTAACATTTTTGTTCACTCACTGGGGAATAAATATATTTGAAAAGAATTGGCTGTGTGTTTCCTGTTTCAAAAATAAACACAAACATTGGTTTGGATGAAAATAGAAAACATTTAATAAACATTTTAAAACAAATAAAAACAGTAAACATTAAACCCAGTTTCTGTTAAAAAGTTTCTGGAAAAGCTAAAACTTCTTATTGGTCGTAACGTTACGCCACGTCTCAGTTGGTGTGGTCACATCGTAGGAAATCAACATTTAAAAAGTGGACTCGGAAAGGAAGTGAGGTCACGCTGCTGGTTGCTGCTCTTTTCAAGGATAAAAATGTTCATTGGTTCAGTGTTTGTTGTTGGCGTCGTCTGGACCTGAGCTGCAGACGCCGTTCTGCGGTTGAGTGGAGCCGGAGCCCAGACCGTAAAGTCTCCCACAATACTTTGCATCATCGATGTTGTCTTCAAAGAAAAGCTAAAAACAAACAAAAAAAAGATATGAATAAAATAAAAGTTCCAGTTTCTCAACAGCCACCAGAGGGAGCAGTGCACTCTATAAACTTGATAAACAGAATCTCAAAAACATAAATCAACAATTGCACACACACAACTTTGTATGTTTTATTGTTTACTCAATGACATCATTTCTAAGTAAAACCAGATAGGAACACAGAGCCACCTAGTGGCACTCCAGGAGAATTGACAGTCATTGGACTCATTCTGCTGCAGTACACTGCAGCCATGTCACTTTAATCCCACAAAACTGCCGGTGAGAACAAGACTAAATGAGAACGTACAAACATGAGGCCAGGGCTAGCCCTGAGCCTGAGGTCAACAGGATAATGTTGACAACAAACAACAGTGATCTAACCCACACTGGACCAGTGACCATGGACCTTCTTAAAGAACTGGAGCAGACAGACAGTGGAATTGTCCAGACTCTCTTGGCCCAACTGTGAACTTGATTAATTAAACCTAACCATGTTCATCACAATCATTCTTATTAATTATGCTTAATTATCAATTTCTCTTGATTAATCCAGAGGTAGTTAGTAATAAATAAAAACCTGTTTTTAATACAAAAAATGGTTTGTTTGCCAGCCCTAAATAAAGTTAAATGAATTTTCTACAGTAACAGTCGCCCCCTGCTGACCACTCTCCTCTTTACCTCCTTCATCCTGAAGAAGGCCATCCCAGTGAGCAGAGAGTCTGAACCTGCCTGGTGCTGTCGGCCAATTCTCTTCAGCTCCAGCTGATCGGCCACTTCCTGCAGACCGCCCTGGACACACACAAAACCAAAGGTTGACGAGTGGTGGACAGATGCAGGTGGGACATCAGCGGGGCTGCGCCCACTACATACCTTCAGGTTCTTGCAGCTCTTCATCAGATACTTGACGTCATAGATGGCGGGGAAGAAGAGGTTGAGGATCTGGAAAAAGTCATGTTCTTCTTCAGGGAGACGAGCGTCCGTCAGCAGCTTCACCAGGTAACCAAAGTCATAGCCACTGGACAGGAAGTGACATCACAAACAGCTCTAACCATGTCAACAAATGCTATGCCAACAAACCTGTCTCTTCCCTTTGATAATCTAACCTCGGACTCAAACTCTAATTCACACTAGTCCCAGACTAAAACCTGGACCAGGTCTGGACCAAACCTCATATTGATTCAAACACTGACTGTAAACGTTTTCTCTTCTGTCCAGATCTGTGACCTAGTTTGTTTTTTTTATTTGGAAACAAACTTCAGCTTAACGTAAACATTAAATCTGGATGGACTAGAGGTGAATATTCTAAAGACCTGAGAATTAACTCAGATGTGTGTTCTTGTGTGTGTGTGTGTGTGTGTGTGTGTGTATATATATTTAATTTAATCTAATTCCTGAATCATCTGGTCTATAATGCAAAGATCAAGTTCAGCTATTCTGATGTTTGAAAATTCAGAAGAAGATTCTAGAAGAACCCTAGACCGACCAGCCTCACCTGTGGAACGAAAGCCACTTGACGTTCTCACACAGAACCAGACCCGAGGTCATCAGCAGCTCAGCAAAGTACAGCGTGTCGATTCCTTCCTCCTCGTGTTTCTTAAACTGGAGCCCGGAATTCTGGAGCAGGTCGATGGAGTCCTGGGAGTACATGTCCTCTCTGATAGACACACACAGCGGTCACATGACACACACACACATACGCACACATCGCCTGAAGAGGCTCCAAAAAAAAGCAAGCTTACGTAAGGTTGAACTTGAAGTTGAACTGCCAGGTGGTGGTGCCGTTGGTGGGATAATCTCCATCCTGGTTCATGAAGGTCAGTCCCAGCTGGATGATCTTGAGCAGGTCCACATTACAGCGCAGCAACTGGTACTGATAATCCACCGTACTGCGAAACTCGCCAATGGGTCGCACCACCACACCTGGGAACTCTGTGTCCTGGTTCAAAGGTCAACAACAACAACATGTTAATCAAAAAAGTGGAAGAACCTTTTTCTTCCACTAGACCTGGTCCCAGTCTAGACCTGGTCCCAGTCTAGACCTGGTCCCAGTCTAGACCTGGTCCCAGTCTAGACCTGGTCCCAGTCTAGACCTGGTCCCAGTCTAGACCTGGTCCCAGTCTAGACCTGGTCCCAGTCTAGACCTGGTCCCAGTCCAGACCTGGTCCCAGTCCAGACCTGATCCCAGTCCAGACCGGATCCCGGTCCAGACCTGATCCCAGTCCAGACCTGATCCCAGTCCAGACATGATCCCAGTCCAGACCTGGTCCCAGTCCAGACCTGGTCTGACCATCTAAACTAGGAATCACCCAAAGGAAAAGTCTTGGCTGAAAACGAAAACACCCAAAGAAATGATCGATCCAAACACCATCAGTTTGATGGTGTTTATGAAGTAACCTCACTAAATATTGACAAAGTCTAAATCAATTACAAAATGATGAGAATATTTATTGAGCAGATTCCAACCAAGCACAGTATAAAATAAAGAGTTTATCTTGACCTCAGTCGTGTGCCCCGACCTACTGAGCAGCTGAGTGACTGTAAAATAGTTTCTCTCATCTTTAAGTCAACTGCCTTTTACAGAGACGACAACTGTGTAGACCTACAACAACAAAGACTGCCATCGGTCTCTCTCCTCTCCCTCTCCGACCTGTGTCGTCCCTCCGTCTCCACACCAACCACTGACTTACAACCAAATCTGTGATAAATCCCTAGTCTAAACATTACCAGTCACTATGACTGCATGGTGGTAAGACGACATGTTTATCTATAATAAGACAGATAAACAAACTGGAGTCAGTGAACAGAGATGGATTTTGACTGGATCAACAATTATCATTATTGAAAAAGAGCTCTATGAACACACTGACTCTAGCAGTGTTCCCTGGCGTTCATCCCACTCTGAAGGCTGGATCCTTCATGTACCGTACAATACTGACTTCCATAACCCCAGAACAGTGGTTCTGAACCCGGGTTTGATTCAACCCCAGGGGTTCGGTGGAGGACAAGACACACACCCGACTCATATGATTCGTGCTGACCTGCCCTAGAACAAATCAAGGAAGCAGGAAACATTCAGTGATGAAACCTAAAAATAATGACACAGCGGCACCAACATCCTCCTACCATAGCAATGTAGTTGTAGCTCTGGATGATCTGACGGATTTTCCTCATTTCCTCCTCCACGTTACTCGCCCACACCTCACAGATGATCTGACTGGAGTCGCTCAGTGCAGCCGGCATGACAGCGGCTAAAGCAGAGGAGATCTGTGCTGAGGAACCGAGACAGCAAGCACTCACAGGCAGACAGGCGACGCGGTCTTTGGAACAACAGAAGGAACAATTATTAAACACCGTGGCCGCTATTTCACGTGGACTCTTATTCACAAATTATATAATGGCAAATATACACCGAATATGTCCAGTTTCAGCAAAAAACATAATCGACGTCAAATACATTTTAATGATGGTATTTCTGTTAATTCGACAACAGTTAACATTCCGCTTTAACTCGCAGCATAAACAAATGTGGTGAAACGTTTTTAAAACAGTTTCAAACTATTAGCGGTGACTCCGATGAGAGATTTTGATTCCCTGGTGACGTCATTTTCAAAAAGTTTTTAGAGAAGTTTTTACAGAATAGATGGAGACGTTAGCATTGGCGGCTAACGCTAACTGGTACTCACAGTGACCGGAAGTTAACGATGAGGATCTCAGGTTAGTTGAAATAAGTCAAAAGAAAAAACATCACCAGAACGAAATATAAAACAGAACGAAACGTACTAAATAAAAAAACTTAAGAGGAGATTATTTGTGCCAAATACGCGCGCTGGTGGAGCTGCCTGGGCTTCGCTGGGCTAAAGGCACCGTTGATTCTTCTGTTACAGCTTCCGCTTTCCCTTTGGTCTATTTTAATACCAAATACCGTAATACGCCACCTATTGGTTTGGAGTTTTTACCGCCCACTTTTGTAATCCATTGTAAAGTAAGACGCGTTCCCTGCTGGAGGGGAGGAGTCACTACATCAGAGACATTTTTTTATCACGTGACAACTCGCGCTGAAAAGATTTAATCAAATAACATTAACATTACACATTCACTAAGAGGTGACAAATTAAACTTATAAACATATCAAAGAAGAAGCGGGTTGCGGATAAACTCTGGACTTTGAGGAAAAACAACTCCACGTTTATATTGAATTTTAGGTAAGTGAAAAAGACAAACGGAGGAGTTGAGAAGAACTGGATACAAGATCATCGGACGATGGTGAAAATACAGCAGTAACAAAACTAAAGAAAACGAGCTGTTGTACAAAGACACACACCGCTGCTGACACGGTACACACGAACTGTTCATACCACAGCCCGCCGAGAGGTGGCTGCGTTCAAAATCATTTTCTGCTTCTCCCTCGACCTCCTCCCTCTATAGTGCCCTCTTCTGTTGTAACTCCAGCCAATGCGCTCATGTGAACCAGAACATAAACGCCTCTGGTACTGGAGCAAATACGCAAACGATCCGTTTTAGTGAGTGGTAAAAAGTGTGTGTGAAAGAACGAGGGAGAATTGGAGCAGGTGGCTTTATTGCCTTCAGATCTGTCTTTTAGATCTTTTGGAATGAGTATAATTTACACAGAATAATAAAAACACATTGAAGCAGCAACTAAAGTTTCTCTAATGTTCTAGACTCACACTGATCTACAAGAGGACCAAGGGGACTAGATCACCAAGAGGACCAGATGACAAGAGGACCAAGATGACAAGAGGACCAGAGGACCAGATGACAAGAGGACCAGATGACAAGAGGACCAAGATGACAAGAGGATCAGATGACCAAGAGGACCAGATGACAAGAGGATCAGATGACAAGAGGATCAGATGACCAGAGGAGCAAGAGGACCAGATGACCACAGAACCAAGAGGACCAGATGACCAAGAAGACCAGATGACAAGAGGACCAGATGACCAAACATCAGCACAAGATTAAAAGAAAAATAACTCTGATCTTGAAAACACTGACATTTATGGACAAACTCTTTTATCTTGTCACTGAAGCTCCTCCCCTTGATCACATGACTCTACCATCTGCTTCTGCTCCTCCCTGTCATTTGGCCCGTCCACCTCTTTGGTTTTCTCATTATCCGCCTCCTCCTTCTTTAGATCCTCCCCCTCTTGTAGCTCCTCCCCCTGCTCATCCTCTCCTGTCGAGTAGGCAGAATCTCCATCATAGATGATGTCCTCAGGGTTTGGTGCTGGAGGACAGAATTCCTCTTCTGGAAGAATCTTCTGGAAGATCTCCTTAGCCTTTACAGATGTTCACACACACACACACACACACTTATTATAACAACAGTCTCTATACTCATGTATGCATAAGCGTGTGTGCGCAGATCACCTGTGAAATAGCGTGCTCGTGGCCAAGAGCTCCGTCAGGTCCTGAGCACATGTACACGTTTGATGGCAGGTCCTGTCTTTGGACCTGGACCCCTGAACCATCCACCATATTAAAGTAGAGACACCAGAGGACGGAGGGACCGGCGTCTGGGGGGTCAGTAAGATCATCATCATTTGTTCCATTTAAGAACGTGAGCCCCCCCCCTGCTGTCAGAGCCACAGTCTTACCTTGGTCGTGTGATTGTGGCGTCTTGAACATTCTGGTTACCACTGGTGACAGGTCTTGGTAGGCGGAGCCAACTGATTGACAGGTGAGGTGGACCAGGTCTGCCAGAAAACAAACATCAAACGCACACATTTGACGTGTTCAATAGATGTTTTCCTGCGATTTCACAACCTGGAGCAAATGTTACAATGTCATCTGACTCGACGTAACACTCCAGGCCGGTTGTAAATGGCAGACTGTACAGATCAGGGTCCACGGACCAGTACCAGTCCATAGGTCATTTGGTATGGGGCCACTTAATTTTTATATCCATTTACTTTCTTTATTTAAAGATAATCTGACAATATTTTAAAATAATCATTCAGACTCTGATCCAAACAGAATAAAGTTTGATGATCCTTCAATGTTCAGCACCTTGGTACCAGTCTGTAATAACAGCTGGTACTGGCTGACCAGTCTTTGGAACAGGAAAGGTGGACGACCGCTGGTATAGATGTAACCAGTCCATAACAGACTAATACAGTGGATTATTATTTATTCAAGGTACAAATATTGTTCATTGTTGTGTAATAAAAAACTCTGCTGCCTGGACTTTACTAAATGTTTTTTGAGCTCCCATGGGCCACAAAAAACAGCTTGGCGAGCCGTATTTGGCTCCCGGGCCTTGAGTTTGGCACTGGGCGTGCAGGACCAGGTGTGTGTGACTCACAGGTTCCAGGTATACAGGTCATGGTAGAAGAACAAAGCTCCACCATCTTCACTGCTGGAGCTCCTGCTGTGATTGGAGGAACAGTGACCAATGACACCTAGAGAACAGAGGACAGGTTGGTGAGGAGGACTGAAGACCACCAACACCTGACCTGGGCTGACCAACCAAACCGTTTCTCACCTGCTGCTCCGAGTCACTGCTCAGAACAGAGTCGTCTGTGACTTATCAACCTGGAGACACAAACAACTTCCTGTGACATCATCACCCAATAATGCAGTGACCCGTGCGCGTCGATGCCGCAGACCTGTCAGATCTCACCTGGGGGGCGTGGCCACCTTCTTTATGTCTAGAGTCAAATGACCTTCCTCCACCACAAAGTGGCCACAGCTGATTCGCTGTCCCCGACTGTCAATGACTGCCTTACACCTGTATCAGAGAGGGAGGGGTCAAAGTCAGACACACACACAAGTGAACTTGAGGAAGGGGTCAGGGGTCAAAGGGAGTACCTGTTGTCCTTGTCCAGCAGCAGACAGTGGACTGAGTGTCTCAAACAGTAAACTCCTCCGAAGACTGCGGACATCCTATAACATGTCAGCCAATCACAGACAAGCAGGATTAAAGGTATGCTCAATGTCAGCCAATTGTATCGCAGATCAGTCTCTGTGGCTTAGAAATGTGTGTGTGTGTGTGTGTGTGAAAGTGAGCGTATGCAAGAGCCAAGAAAAATGAAATATAAAACATTTCTTACCGACAAAAACACTGTGGAATTTCTCCAAGGCCGTACACAGGAAACAGGAAGGGCGTGTTACCATAGCGACCCAGGCAGCGAAGGAAGTGACGCGTAGCTGCAAGACCGACCTCTGTTGGTGTGTTCTCCGTCACCATGGCGATGGAGTGCAACAGGAAGTGCTGCAGGTTTTCCCCCAACTGCTGGTCACTGAGGAAGTCCAGGTAAGGACGCCCCCTGTAGGCTGCAGAGTGGAGGACAGGAGGACATTAGTCACGATGTCCTGACTTTCAAACACTAACAGGTCAGGTGATGTTCCTCACCCTCCTGCTCCTCCGTCTCCTCCATGACTGTTGTTAGGAAACGCATCAACTTCCTCTTTTCCACCACAGACAACTGACGACTGGCGAAGACGTCCGCTCTGCTGCAGGGAACCTGAGAGACACACGGGTTGACACGGTCAAAAAGACGGTCCAATTTGTGGGTCTGGATAAGGACATGTGAGGACAGACCTGTTGGACTCGTCGCTCCCTGCACGTCAGGACTCGGCTGACATTCTTAAATTCTGCGTAGCGACTGACGTTTGACTTGATAAGCAAATCGACCAATGAGCCGCGGGAAAACATCAGCTGGCGGAGAAAAGGACCAAGAGATGATGAGAAGTTGATTGGCTGACAGACAGGAAGTGGCGGGTCAACCCTCATGACACCAGAGTTACCTTGGAGACCAGGTCGATGTTAAACCTGCGGCCATGTTTCAGCAGGTAGGAGAAGGTGATCTTCTTCCTGGTGGACTCTGATTGGCTTAAAGAGCCTGAGGCCTGTGCCGTCTCCACCTGAGCTGTCTGTGATTGGACGAAATCTCATGAGAGCAGGTCATCAACAGAGTCAACAGTAGACAGATGTGGTCAGACTGCTGTCCTCACCTGCTCCTGTCCGTCAGATGATTGCTGCTGCACACCTAGAATCAAAACAGTAAACAGATCCTAATCCTGAATCCCAGATTAAATATGCTGACTCACAGGTTTTGTTTTGTTTTGAAAGATTTAGAGAACAGACAGAGAAGTACAGAGTAGGAATTACTAATCTGTCAAACCTGCAGCTAGTGTCTGCTCCACTTCTGCTCCGTCCTGTTTTGAATCTAGATGAGGAACAGGAAGTGACGATCAGGTGTGGACTTTTTATTGAATGTATCAACAATCCATAATCCGAGGCGAAGTCAAACCTGCAGCATCAAGTGGATTATCGGATGCGTCCTCTGTTGACTCTGGAATTGAAACTGACATCAGGATTACAGTCAAATGTCTCAACAATAATCCAGAAGGTCATGTGACTACCGGCATCAAACCTGCTGAGGTCTCTGTTCCTGTGCTGTTTGGACCAACTTCAGCGTCTTCCTCCTTTCCTTCTTCACCTTCAACACTGAATAATAATCCAGACTGGATGTTCACATAATCACTCCAGATCAGATGAATAATTAAAACAGCACAACTGATGACATCAATTGTTACCTGGCGAAACAATAAATCTCGATGTTACTGATGGAGGCGGAGTCAGAGTGGGGCAGATACATAAGCTTCTCCCCTTCTTTGACAAGTGATGACCAATCCTGGAGCTCCTCAGGAGGACGCTGCTCCTACCCTCACATAAACAAACAACAAACACACACCTTTCTTTGAACCATTTGCTGGTGTTTTCTGCAGCCAATCAGAGCAAAGCTGAGTTCACACCTGACTTTCCCTGATCCAGTCTTGGAGTCCATTAAAGGTGAAACTGGCCCAGTTGCCGGCATAGTAACTCCGCCTACAACGCACAGGACACACTTCACAATAAAAGACTCAGACCTGATCTAACCTGACAGTTCTATGGCACAGGAGTCTGGAACGGGGATCAGAGAACTGGGCCACGTGGAGGACTGGGCCACGTGGAGGACTGGGCCACGTGGAGGACTGGGCCACGTGGAGGACTGGGCTTTCACCTCTGTGCCGTCGTTTCATTTGAAATTCCTTCATTCTGCTGAGAAATACTTCATTTTTGATGGCAATTCAAATGTCTGTGTATTTGTTACATTAAAGTATATGTACTACAGTATATGTACTACAGTATATGTACTACATTTCCTAATCTGGTGCCAATCTGTAAGGAATACTGATAATGAAAACGGAAAATTCTTCAAGAACCAGCTGTCCCACCTGTCCCACTCCAGTGTAACTCTCTGTTCAACATGTTACCGTCAGGCAGACGGTACAGGTCACACAAAACCAGGACAAACAGACTCAGAGATAGCTTCTTCCCGAAAGCTATCTCAGCAGTGAACAATAGAAACAGAACCAGTTAAAATAGTCCACACAATTTCACACTTTACTGATCATATTGATCACTGTGCAATAAAGAAACAACTATGTGCAATAACTAATCACACCAAAGATATGATTGTTATATGTTTGCTTTCTTCTACTCTTTTTTTTTTGCACCAAGTGAGTAGCGCTCAAATCTCGTTGTACACTGTACAAGGACAATAAAGGCTATTCTATTCTGTTTCCTGTTAACTGGTCAACATCCCATAATAGAATCGGGAGTGAATCTTACCTGTCGAGATGGAGAACCCTCTGTCCTACTCTGGAACAGGCTGCAGCCACCACCGACTCCACCAGACCTGGAAGGAACCATTCAAATCATGAGTCAGTCAGTGGGTGAGTCTACCTAACCCTCACCCTGGAGAAAAACAGGAGATAAAGCTGGACACTGTAAAAGGAAAGTAACTGCTATTTTATCCGCTGCCATTTAAAATGGAGGGTCCGTTAGCCTTGAGCTAACTCGGCGCGGTGTCCTGACATCATGTTTGACAGTATTTACTGAGCTTTTCGACATGTTCTGTTCCGAGTTTCTGTCATATGTATTACAGAGAAGTCACCCACATCCGGGTCGGATCATTAGAAGAACCAGGACTCGGATGAAGCCTTACCTGTTCCAAGAATGACTACGTCAAATTCAGACGGTAGATCTACAGCAGCCATCACGGAAACAAGAAGTCACGTGAGGGCGACGAATGATGACCTCATCGTGTTGAGAAACATCCGGTTTATAAGATTAGGGTTAGTTTTAGTAAATATTACTTAATAAATGATGACGTCACCTGAGTGTTAGTTTTTATACACGTTGTTATTTCACTAATATCTACAATGTTAACAGACAAAGAAAAACATCTTTAGTTTGTCAACGTTCTTCTGGTGCTGTTCATCTGAACCATTACTGAGAAGAAAGTCACGTTTGTGCTTCATGACAACCTCCATGTCTCCACCTGGGATTTTGTTCCAACCTCTGGGTCACGGACTGGTACTGATACTCCACTTTCATGTTTTACATGAAATGTAAGTGGAATGTGTCATTGAATGAGTTGTTAAATAATTAGAAATACAATTTCTAATTATTTAAATAATTAGAAATAATTAGAAATACAATTTCTATTTATTTAACAACTCATTCAATGACACATTCATATATTTAAATTGATTTTAATTCATTCATGATACATTTAATAATTAATGACACACTGAATTAATTATTTAATGATGAATTTATTTAGGGGGCTATAGTGGAAAAGTGGACTTGGGTCAGGAAGGTTCCAGGTTGGAGTCCACCAGCTGCCGAGTTACCACCAAAGTGCTCCAAGCATGGCACCATCCCCACACACTGGTGCCCCCTGCTGACTGTCGTGGTGATGGGTTAAAAGCAGAGGCCACATTTGGTGGCATGTGCAGTGGTACAGCGGTGTGTCACAGTGACCAGTAGTTGACTTTTTCATCCTTTTCTTTCCTCACAGCCACCTGTGACCTAAGACTCTGCTGTCAGTTCCACTCAGCTCCAGTAGAGGAGGATGTTCAGCCAGTCCACACAGCTCAATGGAGCAAACAAATGAAGAAATTAAGTCTCCACTGGACAGTGAATGTTTTTCCTGGTGAATTAGCTTCAAACCGATATCCAAGTGTTTCTATATGCGTTTGACATTTTATGTTTGTGTCTCAGGGCATTTTGAACCTTCAAAAAGACTGCACAAAGCAATTCAGGAGTTCCAGGCTTTTATTAAATACAAGTCAGATGTCCAACAACAGCAAACAGACAAAAATGGTGAGACAGAACTGGTCAAAAGACCTGGTCTTTTCTTTTGTAAACTGCAGTAACTAAGTACACACTTTGGTTCCTTTTTTCTACTAGTCAGAAGACTCTACACGGAGGAGGATGATGGGACAATTTTAAATTTTGTTCAAACACACCCAAACAGGGGAAACCAGATATGGAAGGACATGGAGGCAATCTTACCTAAAAGAACGGCTAACTCGATTAGACTCAGGTACCAAAGGTACCCGAGTCACAGGCTAGAAAAAGATAAGGTGACTAGAACAGAGACTGAAGTCATTTTGATGTCAAGTTTTGTTGTCGTTCCAAAACACAAGCATGTTAGAATGTCGTTTTGGATGCAGCCACTAGAGGGAAGAGTCTTATCCAGAATGTAAACGTTTGAGGCACCTTCATATTTTTTTCCCTTCAATTAATAAATACCAGAACATTAAAAGGAGGAAGAAAAACCGGAAGTGGATGTTTGACATCCTTCCAGTGATATTATCACTTCCCCACCAACACATTCAACAACAGTAGAACCTCCAGAGAAACATTCAGTTTCTGTTTATTAGGGCTGTAATCAACTCAGTCTTGGTCGACTCAACCGCTACAAATTTGACTGAAAATCGACTAGTCTGGGGAGGGGGCTGCCAAACAAGGTTCGGTAGCCTTGTCCGCCTTAATTACTTATAAATAAACATAAAGACTGGCAGTCTATTTGTATGTTAAATCGGTTTTGACTTGAAATTGATTTTACACTTCAGTCTGTCGTATCACGTGCAACTGCGCAGCAGATATTTCCATAAATACAGTGGGTACGTAAAGTACTCAGACCACCTTAAATTTTTCACTGTTATATTCTCACTTCGCTTACATGGCCCTTACATGGATTTAATTTTTTTTTTTTTTTTAACAATATACTGTGCATTTGTTTTTTGCTGGATGTGTTCTGGAAGCTGGAAAAGAGGTGACTTTCAATCCCGCAGGTCGGGCACCCACGCAGTCTGTCGCTAAACTCTAATGAATAAATAGCAGCGAAGTAACGTCACTAACTCACTAACCACAAGACACAATGTCGCTCCAGACCGTCATCTACGGTGAGAGAACACGCTTTGTGTGATTATCCATGTGCCTCTGTAGGTTGGTGGTTTTTACAAAGTCTCCTCTTTATTAGTGTATATTCCCCGTGGCATTGCCGATAAATCGAACCATATCTTTGAATCGGTTTTCCTAGAATTACAAGTAAAGGTACTGCCTTTATAACAAAATGAAAAAAGTTTAGCGTTCCTAGTCCTGTGTATGTAGCAGGAGGCTAAAGTTGACGATGACGTACCAAGCTGATGGTTTTACCGCAAATATTTAACACAACGGAAAGAGTATGCTGCCGCGGCAAATACACGATTATTTTAACACTGATTTCTGTAACGTTTTACTTGAATATCAGAGAAATTATTTTAGTTATTGGGTTAAGAAATGCAGCTGAGATTTAACTGAGTCAGATGCAGTCATCAACAGGGCCGCATCTGGCTCGCGAGCCATAGGTTCCCGACCCCCGCGCTATGCTATCAGTTATTGGGTTAAGAAATGCAGCTGAGATTTAACTGAGTCAGATGCAGTCATCAACAGGGCCGCATCTGGCTCGCGAGCCATAGGTTCCCGACCCCCGTGCTATGATATCGCGCAGATGCACGTGATTCAAAACACTGTCAGAACCGACAGACTCCAGCGTGTAGTCAATTTCAGTCCAAAATAATTAGTGGGTACAGAAAGTACTCAGACCACCTTAAATGTTTCACTCTGTTGTATTGCAGCCATTTGCTAAAAAATTCCAGTCCATTGTTTTTCCTCATTAACGTACACACAGCGCCCCCTATTGACAGAAAACCACAGAATTGTTGACATTCCTGCAGATGTAGTAAAAAAAGAAACAGTAAAACATCACAGGGTCCTAAGTTTTCAGAGCCTTTGCTCAGTATTTAGTAGAAGAACTCTCTGGAGCTAATGCAGCCATGAGTCTTTTTTGGGAATGATGCAACAAGTGTTTCACACCTGGATTTGGGGATCCTGTCCAGTTCTGTCAGGTTGGACGGTGGAGGTTGGTGGACGTCCATTTTCAGGTCTCTCCACAGATGCTCCATTGGGTTTAGGTCAGGGCTGTGGCTGGGCCATTCAAGAACAGTAACGTAGTTGTTGTGAAGCCACTCCCTGGT